GTGTCTAAATCAGAACTGTGTCGGACGGCTCCGCCGCCCGCGCCGAGTGCTGCGCAGCGCGGAATTGATGAGTGATGACCGTGATTTGACCGAACGCCTGCGCGAAAAAAATATAATAAAATTGATTTACGCGATAAATTTCCCTGTTTATATACATCTTCCTGAGTGTGGGCAAGGGTTACACTTCCGTTTTTAACAAGCATATTGGCAACTTTCTTCCCTGGCGTACTGGCGTACATCCGCAAACGAACCTCCTGCGTACACGCTGCACCTTCCTGACCATGGAATTCATCTAGGTTTTGACCAGCATTATACAGTTTTTATTCATCATTATACGAGTGGCTAGATAATTATAAACATAATGATTGTGAATATTTACTCAATTTTTTTACCATTGTCAGATTTTGATTTTTGAATATACCAAAAATCATTGTTATTATTCCTTCCTGGGCCATACTGTAAAAGCAGACTCTTTGGTCAATCATTCAATTAGACCAGTGAAATGAGTTAAGTATCATGGATACAAGCATTTTCATATTGATAAAATTTGAATAAAATTTTGAACTAGATCAGGCCTATTAAAAATGAACAAGTTTTTGCAAAAGTTTGAGTATATGGTGATGTTGAGATAGTATATGGTTAACAATAAATAAATGTAGGTAGCTACACCTTTGTCATTTGCACTGTTAAGACAATACTGTAAAATGGGGTAACTTAGACCACTTTTTTTTATATATGATGCCATTTTTTTACTAGCTAAATTAAACTCGAATTGAAACATGCAAAATACAGGTCTATACTCTAGCTTCACTTACCATAAATTGCTGGCTCCTGCCTCTCATAGTCTTTATGTAATTTAAAAAAAAGTGATGGTCTTTGTTACCCCAGCTCTTGGGGTAACTTAGACCGGGTGGTAAAATCAATTATATTTTTTGGTAAAATAACTCCAAATAACTCCAGGTTTTGGTGCATTGTAGTAGAACTCTTCTAGTTACATATGCAAATGACAAACTTGAGGAAAGTGTCATAGTTTGCAAATGGGGGGCGCCGCCCCATAATGAGGGAAATGTGACTACCTAATGGCAGCCCTGATGGGGTAATATTGACTGGCTTGGAAATTAAGTTAAAATTACCATATATAAGACTCTGTAGAGTCTGAAACATAAAGAAAAAACATAAATAGGCTGTCAAACATAAAATATGTTATATATGGTAATTTTATATTAACTTCCAAGCCGGTCTATGTTACCCCGTCAGGGCTGACATTAGGTGGTCTAAGTTACCCCATTTGGGGGCGGCGCCCCCCATTTGCAAACTATGACACTTTCCTAAAATTTGTCATTTGCATATGTAACTAGAAGAGTTCTACTACAATGCATCAAAACCTGGAGTTATTTAACCAAAAAATAAAAAAATTGGAGGGGGTACTCTGACAGGCTTTAAATAATAGCTTTTTTTCGTGGGACACATTTTTAATTTTTTAACCTATTAGATATGCAAACTTTTCAAATCTTTCTATTGTGTTATGTAGCCTCAGTATTAGGGCTTTAATGCCAATTGACAAAATTTTTCTATGTCAAATAGTTTTTGAGTTGTGGGGGTTTTTGTTAAAAAAACGAAAAGTGGTCTAAGTTACCCCGCCGGTCTAAGTTACCCCATTTTACGGTAATGGACAGCATAGTGGCAAAGCAGAGAGTTTTTTAGACTCTTCCTCAAGTTCATTTTTGAGTCCTATAAGTAGACCAGTAAAGTATCTTGGATACCAGAGTTATCATACATAAGAAATCTGTTAAAATCTGGGGTAAATGAGGAAATTAAAAATGAACTGATTCTAAAAAATCTCTGGTTTGCCACTATGATGGACAGAGACTGCAGTCGTGCAGTGCAGACAGTAGCACAGTGCCACCCTCCTCATTCACATGAACTCATAAAGTATTCATGTCATGAATAAAGTTGAAAAATTTTCAATTTAACTACCTTTAACAAATTGTATAGTTGCTTCAACAAATTCACCTGGACTCAACACTGATCAAAAATCAGAATAGGTAGGTACCTACACTATGATAGTGACAATGGCTAGGTATGCTAAAACCAATCTAGAGCCCAGGCAGTTGAAAAATTGTCATTACTTGCAGAATATCTAGAAACTGAAATCTCATTAGCTATTTATTCAGCTTGAAAGGTTTTTGGAAATGGACTTTTTAGTGTAAAATTAATTATTTAAACCCAAGGGCCGCACCACCCAGTGGCCAGTCTTAGTGACAATGCGAAGTAGCCTACTAGGTTATCAAAACGCAAAATTTAATTCATAAGTAACACTGAAAAGTGAGCCAAATTCTGATTTCAAAACGAGACGCAGCAATAACAACATTAATGAATCAAAGTTTACCTATCGTCGTTTCTTATAATCACTAAATCAGTGCTCTCGACTTTTCTCTTGGTCTTGGACATGTGATGACACTCAGGCACAGTGACACTCTGACAGGCATTTTGACCAGATCTATCAAATACTAACGTTGAAGCTAGGTAGCAGCTGAAAATCCATCAATTTGAGAGGTGGTAGCCGGCAAGCACCTATAGTTGATTGAAAAATATACTCCTTCATGGCTTCATCTACGTCGTCTTTTCTGTTCTTGAAAGCATTTATTTAAACTCGCTTACTCTCCGCGTAAGCGAAGTAAGCAGGGAGTTTGTTCCACATATCTGTACTGCCTCATCTGTAGCTATCGCTGTATATGTTAAATTCGTTTTAGAAATCACGGGCAGACTGAAAATTAATATAACGTCCTGGCTGTGTCTTTTCCTACCCAAAAGAATTTTTTAATCATGGTCATCCATCCAGCATCATATCAGATGTACCTTCCACTTTAATTCCAAGTTGAATTACACAAGTTTTCGGATTAAAATTTTCATATTAAAATATGCTTGCATATATTCTTAACTGAATTTTTTAATTCAAAAGGCCTTATCAGAAAATATATAATACAATTTATTTTAAATTGTTGGAATTCTCATACTTGGCCTTTCGTCTACCCAAATAAATTTATTCACAGTCAGTGCGCGTTAAATTTAATTTATTTAAATATTTCCACATATTCAATTTTAAATTTTATTTTTTGGGCAAAAATATTAATAATATTGAAGCTGTTTTAATGGCTTATTTCACAGAATTACCCCCTGGTAAGCTTTGCACTTAAAAATGGCATGACTGTCTCTTGCAAGTTGGTTTACAGCGTCGGAAGGTATTAGTTCCTAATTTTTTCTTGCATGAAATAGCCATTGATAAAATCAAGAAAAATTCTAAAAACTCTAAAAACATTTGATAACACAATAAAAATATGAAAAGCTTTCTAGGATGAACTTGCAGCTAGAAAATATTGTTTGAATAATAGCCGTTTGGTCGCGTCTGTCAGCAACGCTGGGCTGCGTTGGGCTACGGCGTCACAGGCTTGCCAGCTTCCGAGAGGATCGCATCATTGCTCGTTTTTTTGTGAGTACTCAGAATTTTTTTATATGTATCCTCATATTTTTGTTTGATAGTATAGGCTTTGTACTAAATTCTAAAATTTGAATTGTAATTTTGGTGCTTGTATAGGCTTGGATTTTATTGTCTATCTATAAATAGGTTTGCGCGCGGTTGGCGGCCAGCATCGTCGAACTTCGTAGAGAGTCTATGTCAGAGTCCGACTAGAGCAAGCAGCTTTAAAATTCCCGCTGACTTCTATTTTCTTGCACCTATCAAGTAGATTTTATTTTCAAAATATTCATGGTGTAAAATGCTTAATCTTGATTGGTATATGAAAAGCAATATGTTATATGTAGTCTGTAATAATGGAGGTGATGTCATTGTCTGCCATATTGTAAATTTTATTCGTGATGACTGATGAGCGATATTAATTACTTCTTAGTTGTAACCGTTGATAGTTAACTGGGTTTACTTGTTAGGAAACGGAGTTTAAGTATTTATTAGTAGAAATATATTCGTTGGCTGGCCGGCTTGAGTTGTCGATTTGAATTAAGGATCCCTTATCGACCGTTATGGACCAGTAAGGGTGAGGGGCGGGAGCGAGCAAGGGGATTGGCGGGAAGGAAGCTAGCTAACCAGCGAGCGCGAAATGGCGGGAACGAATGGGTGAAACTTTCTTTGTTAAAACATCCGATGTGATGCTGAACATTCATTGTAGTTACGTAAATAAAATGTAATTAATTTGTATGAAATTTTTTGTTTTAAATTAGATTTATTAGGTGAAATTTAATTTCTAAATGGAATTGTGAATATTTTCCAACTTAATTTTGGTAATTTATCATTTTTCGTCTCCTGTAACTAGAATTGCTTGTTCAGCTCTGACTTTGCTTTTATTACTAAATAGGTTTCATTCTCGACTCTATTTACGTCTTTAGAAGAGATGATCTTTATAATTCCGGGCCTTTGGCAGACTTCTAGGGAATTGTTTCGTTCTTTTTTGAAAACCTATTTTCGGAATCATAAAAAATTAAGCTTTCTTAGTAATTCAATTCTTTCATGTTATTTGAGTTTAACACACATTAATCTTCTGCGCTTCAATTTAATTCTGCAGTAATATTCTAAGTAATGGGCCCAATGTAATAAATTCGTTGTATTTAAGTGTAAATTCAAAAGGGATAATTTATACGCCAATGGAAAGAGAGATTCAATTTTTTAACCTTATGAAACGCGGAATTTGTCAGCGAAAGTTGCAGAAATGGCTGTTTGAGTTTTCGCGCCAGTAAGCCGCCTTAGTGTTAACTGCCACTTGTGAATGTGATGGCTACTTTGCCGCATAAGGTTTTCTGCGTTCTTGAGTTTGCTAAAAGTAAGTCTCAAATTACAGTACAGCGAACATTTCGTCCAAAATTTGGTCATGAACTACCGGCAAGAAAAAGCATTAGACGTTGGTTTAGGTACGAAATTGAACAAACTGGAAGTTGTTTAATGGAAAAAGCTCAGGCCGACCGCGTATATCTAAGGATGACGTCAGACGGAATTGAAGAAAGTTATTTTTTCGCAGTTAACCAGTAGAGCTAGTAGATAACTTGGCATACCCCAATCAACTGTATGGAAAGTTCTGCATAAACGTTTAATGTAACTATTGTAGTTTATACATTAATAAATACGAATTTATTAAAATGGGTCAACCATTTAGAATAACTATAATGTGGTAGATTGTTCTTCTGTGTGGTTCACCGTAAGGTCGCTTAGGTTTCAATCGCAATTCGTGATTTCGAACTATACAAAACTTTCTAACTATCAACACGGTACGCATAGACATGCTTGTAAGAGTGCCCGTTATGAAGTTAACCATATTGTGCAGGATTTAGTGCAAGACATCAGCCATGGTTGAGACAGCTGTTGAAGAAAGCAAGAAGCGCGGAAGGCCTCAAGCCGCCAGTGCCCCCAAGAGGAAAGCCGCTGACGAGGGGGGCAGCGCCCCCAAAAGGGGAAGAGGTCGCCCCAAGGGCTCCGGCAAGAAGACTACCAAGGCTTCCCCCAAGAAGGTAAAATTCCCGGACTGATGGCTTCTCCTTAACAGTGATCTAATTTTTTTTAATACAGGGTGCGGCGCGGGAACTTACTTATTTGAATTGCGCGCCACGTGGCGGCCATTAGTCCTAGGAAGGTGGCGCCATGCGCAATATGGTGCGCGGGCTATGAAGTTTTTCGTCCACTCAGTTCAGTTGCGACCATGCAGTGGTCTATGTAGCTCTTTGTAAAAAAGAAAGAATTAAAACGCTATCTTTAATACTTTTTACTTTGTGATTTTTTTAAAAGAGTAAGTTCCCACGCCGCACCCTGTAGTTTTGTTTTTCATTGAGTGGATGTTTCAGTAGTTTTTTGATTATCTAATCGTAATGTGAAGAATGTATTTTGATGCTGAATAAAATCATATTTAGGGCATGCTAACGCCGGAATGGTTCTTTAAATCATTATTTTGCTTCTCAGACTAACAAATACAATATTTTTAGCGATTCATGCACAACGTCGTCTAGGCCTTCTGGTGCTACTGCCCAGAATCTGAAAGAAATTTGAGAACAAAATTTTTTTTCAGATATGCTTGCCTGTTCGCAACCGGAAGGGCGATTGAAATTCTCCTTAAAGTTGAAATATCTCATTTTAAATCCGGTTATACCAATTGTACTCTTCTACGACTAAAGTATCTAGACCACCTGACTTATGGACTTTAATTATGTAGCAGTTTTTTATGGAGAAGTTTTTTTACACAGTAAAACTTCCTATCATGCATAGCTCAATTAATGCTTCAATAATTACCATAGGTGCCCATAACGACAAAGGTTGTTGCTTAATAGAAATATTTCTACCGTTGCAGGCCTCGAGTAAGAACGCTTCCGGCAAGCGCGGCCGCCCCAAGAAGGGAGCCGAGGAAAACAAGGAGGAGGAAGAGGAAGAAGATCAGGAGTAAGCGTCCTCGTCTCATGACTCATGGAGCTTTCCGCTCAACTCGATGACTTTCGGGTCTCAATTTTTATTTAGGGAGTAGTGATAACGCGTAGCTTTACCTATACTGATCTGATCATTGTTCCAAAAATTCATTTTTTTTAGTTCGATTTCTGGGTATCTTCGTGCATTCATTCTCTCAGTAGGTTTTATTTTAGTTTACTATTTTCACGGATTAGTTATTAAACGTGACTTACAAGTATTTTTACACTGTCTTCACGTGGTACTTTTAGTTCAGCTCCATGAGTGTAGGAAGATGTTTAACACAAGATGTAGTTGACGTTTCTTACAGTACAAATTATGTAGAATGATATGATCCTCAGGATGCTTCTTAGAGTTGTCGGATTTTTATGTTGTGATCACACCATTGCCCCAAAATAGTTACGTGACATAAACTTAAGAGCTTGCCCAAAACACTGGCATTGTGACTTTGGTGTCTTCGTTGTTTTACCTTGTCTTTTCTGGATTAAAATAGGCCTCCAATATTTGTCTGTTATATCCCTGTCTTCTGAGTGTTATTTGTCAATTGATTGGCATATTTTTCGCTTGTTGTTACTTTGAAAGGCTTGTAAGTAAATAATTACCAGGATTCGATTATGTACGTTCATGATATTGTTGAATTCCTCTACTGCTTGGCTAGCGAATTTGTCACGTCTTGGAAATGAATATTCTAGTTTCGTGCTTAACTTGAAGTGTGCGCTACGTGTCACTGCTTTTGCTGCACGTATTTTTATATAATGAAAATCAACACTACCACCAATATTATCGAACGCAGAATATCGCCTATGAGCTTTTTCTGAAGTCGGAAGCAGCCATGTTTACAGAGCTTAATGCGACAGAAAAAGCTATTGCGTTTTTTATGACCAGTCGTGAGGAATCCTTCTAGGGTAGAGGATTTCGATGATTGCATTCCTGCTGTAACTAGTTTTTCTGACATTTTTGGAAAAATGTTCCCACAATGAACAACTAAGTCACCAGAGTGATAATGGTAACGAAGATTCACTTTTGGATGTCTTGCATCGAGAATCCACATTTGCATTCCTTTTTTTGTACTGGGATACATTACAAAATTCAGAACTAATAACTCGCGGAATTGAAATGTTTCTTATTTCCTTGGCTCACTAGTCGAGTCGATATCTGATGACGGTTGCTCCATAAAAATAATCTAACCTATCAATGTTTCGCTAAATTAACGGAATCCTGTAAAAGTTCAAACTAAGAGATCTTGGCATAACACAGTGATGTCGGCCCTGAAGAATAGGCCTGATGTGACCTGTCGCCGATTCTTGTACTTATAAGTTTTCGTTACTAGTTCGAATCTTTTCTAAACTGACAATAGTTTGAAATAGCTACTAGACTCCTTCGGGTTCGATATGGTGTAGGCATTTCAAGTCTGAACATATATTTTTCCATTGCTTTGTCTAGTTTGTTCTTGTACGTGCAAACTATCTAACAAGGATAATTCCGGGCCTTAAAAGCAAGTCCTATGAGGAAAGATTATGAAGCTTCCAAGCCTCAGTTATCGACGTCTGCGTAGGGAACTCATTGAAGCATACAAGTATACTCATGGCTTATACAAGGTCCCAGAAGGATTACTAGAATTTGAAACAAGAACCAACACCAGGGGCCACGGTTATAAACTAAAAAAACTGCGTTGTAACACATCCATGCGACAACATTTCTTCTCACTTTGAGTCACCGAGAAGTGGAACAGCCTCCCTGAATTAGCATCGTTGACGCTCAGAGTATGAACGCCTTCAAGAACAGACTAGACGAAGCTATGCTATGCAGGAGCATATGTTCAGTCTTAGAGTGCCTAGCAAATTACGGACCAGACAATAAGTCCAGCAGCTATCTCAATCAATCGTCAGTTATGGAAAGATCGGGTTCCAAAGGCCGGATCCCTTGTGAATCCCGTCACGAAAAATTAAAGAATCGGCAACAGGCCATGGGCCTATTTCTTCAGTGCCGACACTTCTATTCTATTCTTGCTGACTGTTCTTGAACGATTAAACGATCTTACTGGCAATTGCGCGGTTAATTTTCCCGACGATAATGCTTTTGATTTTACTTCAAACATTTGCCAAGTCGTCCTTGCCGTAAGTTTCATGCTGATTCCCCGTAAGTTGAGATTGATTTAAAAAGCTTCGTCGTCATCGGTATTGTGAAACTCGTAAACCGACGTGTGACAACTATCAATGCGAGTTTCTAAAAAACAGATCACTAGTCAAAAAATATTTAGCTCCCGAATAATTTTAATGCATTATTGTAGCCAAAACTTGATTGAGGAAAATTTTAGGTGGAGTCTTGGAATGTTCTAGGACAATTGCTACGTCAATTCACTGACATCACACGCAATAACCAGTTTGCGTCATCTCGCTCTCCTTGGCTATTGGCGGGCTGCGGGCGCGGGTATTAGTTGCAGCCGGTGCACGTCTGAGGTAAGTTGGCGTTGTTAGCTGTAGGCATTTCTGATCGAGCGTATGTTCTAGTGTAGAAGAATTTCTCTTTAACCTGCGATTTTTTTTAATTCTCATCACAGTGTGACAATATTGGTTTGATGGATAGAAAATTTCCAGTTTTTTTTCTGACTTCCACGGCCCATCAGCTGTTGGTGTGGTTCGTTTCCCCGGTAGGCGGGATTGTCTTTTTTACAGTACTTACGTCATTTCTTTGAAGTACTAAGTCTATCCCACTCGTTTAATATAGTAGCTCTGCTGATTTTGTATTATTTATCGATATTCAACTATGATCAACTGTAACTGTACGCATTGGTTTTAAAACGTATAGACAATATTCCTTTAAACCTTTTGCTTGACTGCTTGAGTTTGTTCTCATTTCATGTCTTCCCGAAATCCCGACCATTGCTGAGTGAGTGGCAATGGCATTTGGCTGATTAATCTTAGTTCAACATTTGACACTGATGGCTGACTACTACTGACTAGGACATGTACACTGTAGTCTCAACCGAGCAGTATTTTCTGTGTAGGTCTAGAGGCCGTTTCATTGAAAATGTTTATTTATACGTTTTTTTTAATGGTAGATCATGTAGCCTAGATGCAATTATAAAGAATGCTGAACCCATTTGCACAATTGCACTTATTATTATTTGACAATGTTTGATTGTTTTTCAATTATCAAATGATTTTCAGTTGTAATAGCTTCTGAAACTGATTTTGCTGCAAGCACTGGAAATGAAAGCACAGGACACACTTGCTTATTAGTTGTAACTTGTAAGTAACAACTAATAAGCTACAATTACTACAAGTTAGGTACAACTTGTAAATAGGGCCTATTATACCTACTTTACAAAGCTTTACTTACAATGGTTATAATGTTGAGCAGGAGGATGAGGAGGCTTCTTTTGTGCCTATTTACCGTATAATGGGGTAACTTAGACCTGCGGGGTAACTTAGACCACTTTTCGTTTTTTAACAAAAACCCCCACAACTCAAAAACTATTTAACATAGAAAAATTTTGTCAATGGTCATTAAAGGCCTAATACTGAGGCTACATAACACAATAGAAAGATTTGAAAAGTTTGCATATCTAATAGGTTAAAAAATTTAAAATGTGACCCACGAAAAAAAGCTATTATTTAAAGCCTGTCAGAGTACCCCCTCCAATTTTTTTATTTTTTTGGTTAAATAACTCCAGGTTTAGCTAGTAAAAAAATGGCATCATTTATAAAGAAAAAAGTGGTTTAAGTTACCCCATTTTACGGTACTTGTTACTTGTTTGTAATATTGTATCTTGTAGCCTTGTAGGTCTTTCTGTTTCTGTTATGTAATGAGAAATTTTGAAAATTTGAAATGCCATAGCCTATTTTGTAATATTGTAATTCCAAAATTGTATTTTTATACCAATTTCAAAATCTTGCTGCTAAATTTTGCAATTTCATTGATGGGCAAATAGAAGGTACTCGAGGTAGATAATCCAAAAGAAAATTTTTGACTGGACAAATGATGAGATGGTTGTGGGCTTAGTTCAGGAGGCAATTGTTTTCTGCAGCTGTTTTTCTTGAATCTGATGTGAAGTTTTCTACACTTAACATATCATAATCATGGAAGTATCCTACATGGCATTGACTAAATTTTCTTACCAAGCTGCAATAAATTACCAGTTGATTTTGGAGCTGTTGTTGACCCTAGTTAGAGAATTATCCCCTACCAAATATTCAACAAAAGTGCACAATTAATATTAAATTGAAATTCATCACTAAAGAAGGTTGCCTATGATTTTTGTATCGGTAGGGAATTTTTTAGTTTGATCAACCAGGCTTGGTATTAAATACTATCAGCTCATCTGTTCAGCATTGCTTTGTTACCTATTGTAGCTGCAGGCGGACGTGTGTTGCTGTGCTCCGTTTACAACTTACGTCAGTGTAAAAATCCACCTCTGGGTCCCACCGGGCCACCACTGGACCACCACTGGAGTCCGGTGGTGATCCGGTGGGGTCTGATGGTGGTCTGGACCACCACTGGACCCCAGGGAACAGAAGCTGTTCTGTTCCAAGTCTCTATACTTAGCCATGACTGAATTTTCCTGAATCCTGCCATTTTTATAACTTAGAAGTGCAAGATTCCTACTAGATTGAATATCTGCTGCCAATATCATTGCAACAAAACTGCAAGATCAAGCCCCTTGAATTAAAAAGTAATTGAAATTGGCACATCAGAGCCATTGGATTTCAGTAATGAATAGTAATTTTACAATATTGGCTTGATGGCTACAAATCAACTCTGTGTCTAGTCATATTTAACCCATTGAAATTCTTTTCAAGATGTAAAACTAAAAAATTGTTATCATTGAATGTTTTGTAGAGTGGACAATTTTTGGCTCAAAAATTGTAGTTACAATTTTTAATGTATGAAGTGCAAATTTCTATTATGGAGAAAGACTACCTGCTTCTGTGAGATATTTTCTTCATATTTGCTAGAAATTGTGGATATATAAAGTTCCTTTCAAAGCATTTGTCTTCAGTTGGAATTTTTTTGATGTCAACAATCCATTTATGTGGCTTATTAACCATTTTAAATCATAGTGCAAAACCTAAATGAACAAGATATTTCCTTAATGTACTTCATTTTCATATTTAAATAAGCATTAAATTTGTTACATTGAATTCCTTCATTTAATTTTTGATGATGCTGGATGACCTTTGTCAATAACAAGTTCTGAAAACTTATCTTCCACCTGCTGTCCCAGTCGTCACTGAAGTATCGGCAAAGAAGACCGTTGGCGTGGAGATTGAAATTCAGACTGACGACTTCTACACCACAATAGAAAATCCCGAGTCTTCGACTCCTGTTGCTGAAGTAGAGGAAGAAACCGTGCAGACCAGAGATAAAGGTGAAGATCATTGGGGCGTTATAATAAAAGAACTTGCTAAAAAACAGTCTGTTCGTAAAAGTAATTACGACCATAATCTTCTTCAACGCCTTGAAAGTGTTGGCCGCATCGGACCGACACCCACGATCTATGAAGCCGGTGAGCTTCTAGAGGCCGATGAGGACAACGAATCGTCTGCCACGAACGAGTCTACTCTTGCAACTCTTACCAGCCTTCAAGAAAGCCAAGGTGTGCTGTCTAGCTGCGAAAATTCTAACCCAGCCCCTGAGAAGCAAACGCTAGTTTCTGTCAACTTGCAAGACTCGAAAATCACGGATAGGAACTCTATAGAAAACTGTTCCTTAGATGATTTGGTGATCGAAGAAATCCACAACAAAAAAACTCTACGAGGGGCCGACTACAATGAAACGGGGGAAATTACTGAAGTTGTAGATTCGGAAATTAATAAACATGCGGGAAGCAGCGACCCGATGGTGCCACTATCGGTAGTTGGAAGCGATCCTACATCCGAAACTGAACTGGTTATCGAAACGTCATTTACAGCTACCGAGGATAAGGCCAGTGAAGATAAGACGGGAGGAACTGTGCAACCTGATTGCACAGACGTAAAAGACGATACAGAGGTCTGCTCGAACTTGGGTGGTTTTGACAGAAAGCTTGGTAAAGTTACGCCGGAGCCAACCGAAACGGAAGTTAACTCGGTGGAGCGTGATAATCCTGAACGTCCTTTGTCTGACGCAAAATCGAGCGAGGAACATAAGAGAGAGGCTACCTCAGATGAGAGCGTCATAATAAAGCAGACTGCGTTTTCCAATCTGGAAAATTCTGCGCACACAAAAGCCGAAATTGAAGAAGATCCTTTGCTTTACAGCAAAGCATCGCACCCAGCGACTGAAACTTCTTCTGACACAACTGGAGAGCGGGAACTAAATCCATCTCTTGAAGTAGACGAGAAAACGGCGCTTTCTTCCGTTACATCTGATGATACTGGCGAAAAAATATCGATCGATCACTTGGATTCATCGCGCGCTCCTGAAACTGTAGCAGCTGACAAATCGGAAATTGAAGTCGTGCCTGTGAACACTTGTACTGACAAATTGGACCACAGCAAAGAAAGTTTACTTGCCCAAACTACCTCTACTGAGACGGCGGATAAATTATCTGTTGCGGGCTCTTCTGAAACGCTGACCTCTATCAGTCAAGGGTCCGCGAGAAGCGATATTTCTGAAGCTTTCGACTCGGGTCGAGGCTCCATTGACGTGGATGAAATTCCCGTGGCGCCTCTCAGAAGAAAGAAATTGAACGTCGGAAACTACAAATCTTAGTTAGAATTGTATGTGGCATTGTACAAATTGTCTGTGTGGTAAGTCCCTGTGGTTAAATTGTCAACAAGCATTCGATGCCGTAATGGATTTTGAGTTGGTGGAACGTTTTCACTGTGACTTCCTTGAAGTTTGATTTGCTTCGCATTGATTTAATGTGCGGATCAGCAAGTTTGTTTTTGCTGATTGACGCGATTGATGTCGAATGTTTGAAAAGATTTTTACATTCGAGCGTTTAGAAATAGTCAGTCAGTGCCTGTAATGAAATTTGGCAGCCTTGAATGCGGTGCGTTATCACTTGAACATCCCATCTAATCTACCCGCAGCAAAATTCAGGTGATAACCTCAATTATTTTGTTCAGCCCGATAAGCACCAAACCGGCACGTTATCCTGAGGCATGCGTGGAATTACCTGGCGGCGATTACCGACGAGCTACAATGCTAAGCTCATTACAAAATGACTTCACGAATCACGAGCGGGCTCACGCAGAAGTATTTTAAATCAATTAAACAACTCGTTGCCTCATTTCTTATTTGCATTATTGTTATTATTCTGATTTTAACGTCATTCTTTTTTTCCAGATTTGTGTTCGTGTGTTGCTCCGTGTGCATCCCCAGCTTTAATCATGAGTGCCATTAGTCCCATGCCTGCCATCGCTAAACCTGCTCCCTTCTTCGAGGGCACGGCAGTCGTTAACAAAGAATTCAAGCAAATCTCCCTCGCTGATTACAAAGGCAAATACTTGGTCTTCTTCTTCTACCCTCTGGATTTTACGTTTGTATGCCCAACCGAGATCATTGCTTTCTCGGATAGAGTTGAGGACTTCAGGAAGATCGGATGTGAAGTTGTTGGCTGCTCCACAGATTCTCATTTCTCCCATCTCGCTTGGTGAGCTGCATGATCGCTTTATAGCCAATATTGAACATTATACTTGTCTTGAACCTTAATTATGATGGTGATATATAATAGCTTTTATATGCTACATAGAATGCGAATTCTGATGAATTCAATTCCCGTTTGCACTAATGTTACAAATTGTGTGTAGTATAGCTGCTTTAACGTGCAGCACTTCTGTTAGTTATCATTTCTTATGTTCATCCACTAAAAGAGCCGTGGCGAAGTGAAAATGCATTTACCGATGTCCTAATTTCTATTGGATCGATCACCATTGTCAGAAAGAACCATGGGTTATGCTGATAATTGAAGGCACAAAGGAGACTTTAAATTCGTGTTTTATGTTGCAAAATTGCAGGAGTAAAGACCCCGGCTTGCTCCGTGCCTCTATCGTGTATGCCTTTGTAACTTAGTATGGTGTCTATATGATTGTGTATTTTTTTTGACGAAATTGAAAGTGACGAAATTTCGTTTTCTGAACCTTGGATTTAGAGGTTTTCCTTGATTACACAATATGAATCAGAGTTCATTCTAGCTTCAACAATGGTTGTATTCACATTGTTCCCTTGTTTGTACCGTAACGCTAATATGGTAAAGATAATCGTGACTGAGTGGAGTATTTCAGCTGACGATAATGTTCTTGGCAGGGTGAACACCCCTCGCCGTGAAGGAGGTCTCGGCGACATGAACATCCCCTTGCTGGCCGACAAGAACCTCGAGATCGCTCGTGCCTACGGAGTACTCAAGGAGGATGGTGTCGCCTTCAGAGGCCTCTTCATCATTGACGAAGAACAAAACCTACGACAGGTCAGTGCACAAAAAATCATAATGAGAATTGTTACATTAGCCTGTACTATATAAAACTAGAGAGTTTTAGCTGTCAGTTTATTTGAAATGACAATTTTCCGCACGAAGAATGACAGCCTGGTTAATGAAGTAAAGCTTAGAGCGGTTCTTGGTAAGAGTAAGTTGATATAAATCGGTATGTGATGTTCAGCTTACCGGTATATTGCGTGTCTGACGCCCAATGAAGCAATATACATGTAGGAGCATTTGTTCACTGTAGTGCAGTGGTTAGCGCCACTCTCTCGGCTGTGATAGCGGCACCGATGAGAGAGGAGATAGCCGTGGAAAGCTTAGTTTATTTCTCGATGTCGCTTGTTGGCGGCGCTTGGTTGCCGTCAAAATGGCGTACTTCCAGTACGGCCTTGATTTGGTGTCCCTGAACGAACGGAGTACCAAAATTTAGAGTCAGAATGTTGCCATTTTGTGTCTACATACTATCGGTCTAGTGACAAGTTTGTTTCCTTGAACCAGGGTTTCCCCAACTTTCTCCCCTTTTTACCCAATTCGCATTGCCTCAAAAAGCATTCCCTCTCTTCGGTCCAAGTAAGTCCTGGCGTAATTGTTTTCAGCCTGGAAAAAGCGGCATTGGTTTTTTTTTTTTTTTGTAGATTTACATCTCCTAAAAGTCGTACCTATATCAAAATGAGGTTATAAACCCATTACCACCTTTACCTGCAGACCTTTAGTTTTGAAATGAGCTACTTTGTGTCTGAATGATGCAGGTGCTTATATTACCTTTATTTCCCGCGACATGTTTGATGAACTCGTATACACTTCTTAGACCTTCCGAGTTTCGGCCTATACCGTATTTGTTGCTCACGCGAACTGGGTTGAATATTAGAAGTTTTGATCTGTAGGTTCAAAGGATGAATAAGTTATTCCTAGATTTGTCTTGGGTTCAATCAATTATCGAATGATTAAATCTGTTGCTTTGTAATAAAAATTAAATTTTATTGTTAGATTATTAACGACATTTTTTTGTCAGCTTCAATCGTTTATTCGAATTCGTCTATGTCTGTTTGAAAAAGTTCGTGTTTTCAATCTTCTTACTTGTCTTCGCCACATTAATTTTTAATGTTAGTATAACTTATTGCGTAAGAGATTGCTTCATTATTGCAGATCACCATCAACGACTTGCCTGTTGGGCGTGACGTCGATGAAACTCTTCGTTTGGTGCAAGCCTTCAAGTTTACAGACCAGCACGGTGAAGGTGGGTATTTTCAGGCCAATAAAGCCTTTAAACATAGGTTTTCTGAATCAGATATAGTTGTCCTAAATTTTTCTATCACCCTAAAAATTATATACTAGTGATCACAATTTTAGTCCTGGATCCTACTGTACCCTACGTCACCTCGGGTGAGATGTATTTTACTCTCATTTCAAATAACAAAGTAGGAAACTAATCACAAATCACACGTTCTAATCGAGAGTAAACTGTGATATCCATCCATTCTTTGCGACTTGTAAAATTTAATTTTGTTTTTATGCCAAATAGGTTATATATTTTTGTAACTCTCGTAAATGCCTTTCTGCTCTCATCAAAGTGTAGCCCGTACGGCTGCAAACACTCATACCTGCCGCTCATTAGAAGTCAGTGTCTCGTCAACTTCAGTGAAGCAATTACCCCTTCAGCGATCTGTCACTTGCTGCCTTCACGCCTAGTCTCCTCAGCTATACATCACCACTAAAATTCTCTAAACTCGTGGATGAAGTTGATACGCTGTTAATACTTTTGTGTTGGGGTCGAAAAATCTGAAAGGAATCGGTAAAATGTATTTTAGAAATTTAGTCTCAGCACCTGCCCATCTACGCACCAACTTTCAAAGATATATTGTGAACTCCGAATTAAGCTTATCTTGCGGGGTTGCATAAATAAATGAACAGATTTAACATGCACTCCAGCTTGCATGCTGCTTGCACCCGAGGTGATATGGGTTCAGACTCGAAAAAAGTTGACAATAGTTGCGTATGAGATAACACTGAGTTGGTTTCAAGGTTGACGCTTTCTATATTCATCATCATGAATATCTTCTGCACTCAACAGTTTGCCCTGCTGGCTGGAAGCCCGGAAGCGACACCATGAAGCCTGATCCTGTGGGCAGCAAGGACTACTTCGAAAAATCTAACTAATATTCACATTACGTTAAACGCTGACAATGAGGCTCGTTGCGTGCAACGTGAACCAGGGACCTGGCTTTCAATCAAAACCATTCTACCAATTTAGTGGAACCAGTCATTTCCTTACAACCTGCTGTTGTTTGACTTCGTTACTGCTCTTTACAAAATGACTTCGTTTATTTTTCATGGGTTCAGTTTGAGACCTCGCTTTAGTTGAGTGGCCATGATGATATCGTAAGGAAATATATATTCAGTGTTATCGGTCTTGCTTATCATTAACCTTAGTTATGATTTGATTGCGTTCTATTATTGAAAGGTTGTCGCTACAAATTAATGGTTGCCTCTTATAAGAACGTAACACGTGTCTTGTCTTCCTGTTGGAAATAATGTTTTCGTGACGGTTAACGGCTAATTCGCCAACTCCCTGTTTGATATAAAAATTGTATCTGTGCCCCAATCGTGCGTGCTTTACTATGTATGGCTTCGATCATCTTGGAACAGACACTGCGACGGGCGCGGTGCTGATAAAAATTGTTGTCGACCGATGAACAGGACCGTCAGGGACCTTAAATCGTATTGTCAAAGTCATGTGCTCGTCATGTGAGTGAAGTCTCCTTTTGCGCTCTAATCTAGGAATTGCGAACACCGTTTTGTCTTGATCTGTGGCAGAGCGAAATTTCTTTATATTATATTTTTTTATTATATATTATGACTTTCAAATTTAAACGCCCACATTGTGACGTGCACGTGTGTAACAGAAGTGACAATGATGAAGGCTGCAAAGTTCCGTGTGCTCCTTGAAATTTTAAGATGACCATGTTTAGTGGACCATAGGTAGGATTCTACTTAAATCTGATTGTTCTAGAAGGCGAAATCTGAGCCGCCTGCTATTTGAAGGTATGGTATCGACGAATAAGTGCACCATGAATTTCAAGAGCCAAGCATAGGCGAATATAAAACTATAGATCCCAGCTACGCTGTAAGAATGTATAGATGATAAGTGGTCTTCAAGGTCTTAAGCGTTCATTTACACTCTGTTCATTCATGCCTTGCGTTTTTGGATCCTGGGCTCATGACAATACACATTAAAATCACAAATAATGTATCGCGATCAAACTTCATTCATTTACTTCGTGTCTTTATGATCGCCTACATCGAACAGCACATATCGAACCTGCACTTCATCGTGCTGCGGAAGTTGGGAAGTATAAAGTATGTGTAAATTAATGTGTCGTAATTTCTAACAAACAAGCTTCTATGCGCAGCTCAATTTCGTAATACCGCGATGAACACTTCCAGTCGGATCAACTAACTATTCATGTTCCTGAGCGCCCCACCACTGAGCTCGCGGTGTCTTGACTGTGCAGGTCTCGGTTGTGTGGTTGAGTTATGTAGGTAGGATTCCTTGCATTTCCCTTTTCTGTTTCTGTTGCTTTTCACCTGTCACTCCTTGCCACTTCGTCTCTGAGATGCTAACGCTGCTGGAGCAGCGTTAGCATCTCGAATACGCTGACTGCAGGAGCAGTCAGTTGCGTATTGGAGATCCGCAATAAGCTATGAAAATTCTGCATGTTCAGAACCGGTGAAAAGCCTAACTGCCTAATCTACAACGCTCTCACAAGCATCAAAGGCGTAGCTGGAATTTAAGTATCAGTCACTTGACCACTGAACCGCACTGCCCTGGACGATCAAGAACTGCAGATGGAATTGAGAGGTTGCCGTGCTGTTACAATGACCCGCGATACTCGCCTACTCTAGCTGCACGTTGCTTCATGCCACACCAACGTACAGTGAATCAGTAATTCCACCCCTATCACGGGTGTTACGCTGCAGACCTCGGCCGTTATAGGTAAAATCCATTATGGGGAATTAATTGGTCAACTAAAACTGCTTGTTTAAATATTCATATTGTAATTCTTTGGTAATTTTCATTGCATTAAGTGTTCACAAAGCCTCTCTACCCTTTTACTACCGATCGAGTTCTGCGGGCTGTTCAAATCTGCTGATCGACTTCCTCAGAGACCCGCGAATGATCGGAAAGCAGCAAATTATTTTTCTCAATAATATTCCTCGAAAACTCGCTATGAAGTGAAGCCGGTGTAGGTGAAGCGGGATTTGGCACGGAGTTATTATACACCGATGTGAACACCGTCGATCGCACACATGTTTGCATGCAAGTTAATATATGATTCGAAATGACTCATTAGTATGGTTCAATGCAAGTGAATAGATGGTTCGAACTCGGTTAGTGTGATCTGTTTGCGAAGAGAAGGTTCGAATTGATGGATTAGCATGGTTGCCTGCAAGTGAAGAGAAGGTTCGAACTAATTGACTATTATGGTTTCATAAAAAAAAAAAAACAAGGGAGAAGGTTCGACTGATTGATTAGTATGGCTTCATGTAGGAGAAGAGAAGATTGTTGTTGCCCAGCGACCGACCTGGCGTTACTGGTCAAGTCGAGGCTGGAACCAACGCACAACCGCTACTGGGTCTCCCAAGGTCCACGGTGTCGAAGAGCAGATTCAAACTTATTGGTTAGTATGGTTTCATAAAGTGAAGAGAAAGTTCAAACTGATTGCTTTGTAAAGATCCGGGCAGATAAAAAGAAGGTTCGAACTGATAGGTTCGTATGTCTTTATCCAAGTGAAGATTTCAGCTGATTGTTTAGTAGCATGCAAGAAGAGAAGGACCGATCTGATTGGTTGGTTGGTAAGGTTTTATGAAACCTTTTTAGAATTTTTGGGTGCCATGAAAAAATGAGTGCAAGTATTGCGGCATGACGTTTAGGCCGAGGTACGTGGGCTGTAGCGCGCTACATGTAGCGGTAGCGGCGCTACATTTAAAGCAATGTAGCGGTAGCGCCCGCTACATTTAGAGCATGTAGCGGTAGCGGTAGCCATCCGCTACATTTCGAAGTAGCGCTGCCCAGCTCTGCGTTTAGGCAGTAATTGCGCTTTCTGAATAGCTACGATTTATTATTTGTATAAATATTTAGCTCCTATATTTGAGTCTTTACCGGATGTTTACTTCAAAGAATGTCATATATTCTAAAAATGAGAATGCAATATATTTCATGAATTTGTTTTAAAATTATAGTAAATATATTTATGCAAATATAATTAAACAGAATGATTGAATCACAACCTTGCAGAATTTTTTTCCGTTGGTTTCGTTCATATATAAAATGCTAAACATATATAAAATATAAAAATATATAATTATACTTACATAAAATATAAATATAAAACGTTCATAGATAAAATGCTTTACTTACCTACGAAGCAAACAAAGGCATTTCTGATAATGCTTATCAGCGTGAATTATTAACGAATAAATTCATATCAACTCATATTCATTTCAAATATTGGTAGATCAAATACATATCATAAATTCATAATCATATCAAATTTGAGAAACTCCACACGGATTTACACTTGAGTGGGTTAAGCGTCCACGAGTTGCTACAAATTCTGCCCAATCAAATTTTGGACAGGAGTGATGTGGTCCCTGGGATGTAATTATCAGCTGATAATATCTGGACTCGCTCTTAGCGCTATCGTAACTCACGAGGCATAAGTCAATAATAATTACGCTGAAGTAGCATGTGCACTTATTACACTATACATTGTTTTACAGAGGAATAATTTCTGTTCAACATATTATTGTCTTTATCAAAATACAATGCATGGCTGGCATATAATTTAATAAAATGTTGATCGAATAACAAATTATGAAGAACTTGTGATAATATAATTTTTACACCTAGCATGCATGATAAAGCGACATTTAAGTCAAACGTAGTGGGTTTTGATAAGCGGAACATTGAAATCGACGCCTAATTTCATTCAACCATGGTTACACCGAGCGATAATTGGGAACAGTGAGGGCCACATGTGTTTCGCGCCTGTCAAAAGCAAGAACGCTCATCTTCATTCGTTATAAATTACAGACGTTCCTTTTTTGTTTATTAATGGTATCCTAAAATAAGAGTCTATTGAGCTAAGATAGAGAAATTGATTAAATCGAACTAAATTGAATCAAATTATTAAAGAGCCGAATATTTTACACATCACACATAATTTTGCGAAATTGGAGCGGAATTCGCGATTTACGCGATGATGAAAACAAGACACCGGCATTTGAATGAATTGAGAAGGCACTAAGTTATTACCATTGCTTCGTGGTCTCCTGAACTCAGTTTGCATAAAATTTATTACATGTTAACTTGATTTTCTTTCAGCAGCTGCGGTACGCTGCTCATTGCTGCTGATGCGATTCATGTCTATTCGTCCTACATGTACAATTGTACATGAACAGTCAGTCGTCGGTAGTCGCTTGTGCAGTGTGGGTGTGTTAAGCTGGCAGAGATTTCTTGAAGTTATTACTACCCTAGCTAGGATTGAAAGTAACTCGCTAAAAGGAATATGACACGTTTTGTGTGAATGACAATTAAACATAGATATATTATAAATGCCGTCATCAGTGCTATAAAATATATGTGTCATTGGCCGAATTTCGAGATCTCACGTCAAAACTCAAACCTAGCTGACCTAGGCCAGGCCCCAGGGAAACGTAAACAAACTCGGAAGCATCGACGAATTACATGGCAAAGCTATCCTTATTGCCTTAATCATGTATGAAATAATAGATTGTGCTCTTCAACAACCTTAAACGCAACCAAGCTATTTAAACGCTCACATAAAGGGCTTCTTTATGTGTGAGTGCTTGAATTTCTTGTGACAAGCTCAACTTTTTTCGGCGATCATACTCCATAGTAGATAGCAGCCAGCATAGATAGATGATCAAGCCAATGAAGCCATAGAATTCAATTTACTTATGATATTGGTACCGTCATTGACACTAAAGTTGCCTTCTAAGTTTTAATTGTCATTTGTCACTGCACATGATTTGCTAGTCTTTACCTGAGTAAGGTGTAAATTGTAATACTGGTAATAAATTGTTTTTTTTTTTCATGGTTGTTAATCTTTTGAAACCTTTCCAGAATGTATGTTCCCTACAGTTCCCATACGGCCATACCTGAACCTAGCCTGCTTTTTCTTAAGTTAGATAGTTTACAACTTAACATTAAGGAAATAAATTAAAATTAATTATAGCAGCTTTGCATGGGTTACTTGCGGTAGTGAATGTTTGTGAGATGTTTAGGAAAATTTATTTAGATAAAGGTGCTTCCTTCAAGCAAAGACTTGTGTCTTGTAAGCACCCTATCATCACTGATCATTAAAAATGTTCAGATTTGCAGTCAAAAATGACTTGAAGTGGCAGATTTCTTATCAATATTCATAGCAGATAGCTTATGGTTATGAGTAATGACAGCATTAAGCATATTATCAATTTATGAAAAGTACTTTATATATCCACCAGTCAAATTTCTCATGAGATTATTAGTGCATGCTTAATGCTTTTAATTTTTAACAAACAGTAAGTTATTTATGTATTCTAAACATCCAAGGCTCCTGTGAAAAATTTTAAATTGATTATTTTATTCATTTGAAAATTAATTTATCATTCAATCCATGATATGTTATAATCTAGTTATTTTGGTTAAAAAATAAATTGTAAACATAAATTGGACATGCATATCAAATTTGTTTGCTTGTGACCTATTTCCAGTGACATGTTCTGTTGTTTATTTACTAATTCTAGTTAAGTATATTGAACTGTTGTAAGTTACAAAGTAGAATGTTCTCTATAATGAAGGTTTTAAACATTTTTTTGAAAGGCTTTGTAAATTAAGTGCAAAATTAGATTTTCTGTTTTGAATTTATGCTTTTCCAACTTTTACTTGTAAATTTCTCAAATTATAGATACTATAGATACATTAAGAAAAGTATGTGGAATCCTTGAATGCAAGATTAAATTAATTATTATTTAGGTAGTGTTCAATAAATCTTATAACCTTTGATAGCTACAAATGATCCAAAATATATCCTAAACTCAAGCCATCTCAATTTAAGCTGTAATTTAATTTTGCTTCTAATAATTGTCAAATTTAATACTGAGAAGGTTATTATAAATTTTTTATACAAAACTCGAACTTCAGTTCCCTTGTCTATTTTGTTCCACGATGCTAAGATATATTTCAAATAACTTGTATTTGATAGTGCTACTTTAGACATTATTTTCACATAGTAGGTTGTGGGTCATTAGGTGTAAACAGCAGTCTTGATTGATTAACCAATTTGTGTGTTGAAAGAAAAAAAAAGACCTTGTTATAATTTCTGCACTTATTGAAAAGCAGGGAGACTGGGATCATTGATGGAGTTACTTGGACTGTTTTGACATTTATGAAAAGAAAACCTTATGCTCAAAAAGTTTTTGCCTTAGAAAAATTGTGTTGATAGCTCCTGAAGTACCATGAGATAACCTACAAATGCAATAAAAAGATTTATTTTATATATTAAGTTTGTGACTATTTGGATCACAAATTGTAAGTGCTTAAAATGGTCCAAGTCATCCTGTTTTATGGTACTTCATTTCACTGGTGCTCTAGTGTTTATAGTATTCTTTAAATATGCTATTGGTCATATATTATTGAATATTGGAATTCAGTTGTTTTTCAGGTTCCAAGAAAACATAAATCAATAACTGGAAAAGCTCGGTTAAGATTTGGCTGGGTTTTTGAAAGATGATATTCTGGTATTATACAACTGTATTGTTTTTAAAATAAATTTATCCTAGTGCATCAGAATTTGCTAAAGCTTTTGTAGTAGAGGTACTGTGAGTGAGGCAAGTTACTGCTCAGTGTGCAGAGGTTCATGTTATGCAGCGTGGGGGAACTTGTAGCAAAGTGGCTGTGACTCTTGGAGAACGCGGCATGTGTGGCAGACCAATGTCGTGGTCAAGCGCATCATCATGGCGAGTGCCACTGCCAATAACGACATTGCCGCTGTGTGGCAGCGTTGTGACAGATACATCTTCAAAATTTACTTCACATACGAGTACAAGTTTAATGGAATCTTCCTGCGAGGAAGAAGCTTCTCCTGAAAACGAACTTTGTGGTGATTTTAACGGATTTTTGATTAAAGAAGTACAGGGTTGCACTAATATTGCTACTGAAAACAGCAAAAAACTCAAGGCCAAAATTAGCCTCGATGAAAGTAAGTTAGGAACTAATTCTAATACTGAAGGATATTTTGAAAGTGAAAATTTTACCCGTAGCGATGTTATATCACGAACCCCGAGCGACTCGACGCCACGGTTACCTCGCTCTGGAGGTTACCGTAGTGCCTTGGCTCGGTCATCTTCGTACCAGGCCCTGCACTCGGCACTAGCCAGGCTCTACAGACTCGATGACTTCTCTACAGAGAGAATCGGCCAGGGCTTTTTCTCCGAGGTTTATAAAGTGAGTACATGACTACTTATCTTGGTTTGTAGACGTCGCAACGTTATGAGTTTAAACTTTGTAGCTGATCATTGAACACGATCTCTGGAAACCTTGAAATAACTACAATCTATTCGTTTTTATTGCATGCTAGTTTTACAGTTAAAATTGAAATGGATTATTCACAATTGAGGCGCTACGTATATCCATTCATTATGCATTGGTTGCGGTCTATGAACTCAGAGTGACGTTTTTGCAGAGCGATCGGCGTTTTCGGCTTCCTTAGCAATGCTTCACGAAAAATAGTTCGTTTGTGAAAAGTTTATTCCTGTGTGTTTTTTCATATGTTCGATAGGATGTTCAATTTCGTGTAGCGTAAACTGATTCCTTTAAAGCGCCTTCTTTACGTAGATAAAACGTTGTTCTGTTTGTTTTCGAATCCTAATTTCCAATCTCTTTTATTATTTGCATGTTGGAGAGAAAACTCGGACCCTGGCTCTTTAGTCTACAAGTTCTGTGTTGTTGATGTCTTCTTGAATAGCGAAGATTTGGCAGGCTTCCTGCGTATATAGCGCGCGGTCGTGCGCTGCCGCTGTGGCTGTGGCTCACACGCGCTGCCGCTGTGGCTTTGGCTCACACGCGCTGCCGCTGTGGCTTTGGCTCACACGCGCTGCCGCTGTGGCTTTGGCTCACACGCGCTGTCGCTGTGACTGTGGCTCACGCGCGCTGCCGCTGTGGCTGTGGCTCACATGCGCTGCCGCTGTGGCTGTGGCTCACACCTGCCCAGGCTGTTTGTGTCCGGGCGCAGCTGTTCAGAATTGTCCGTATTTATTACTCGCGTGTCCGCCTCTTACCATTTAAAAAAGTAGAATAAGCAACTACCGCCTGATGAGTTGCCGCGACCGAGCGAGCGCTGCTGAGCATGATTCACGAGTTTCTTATATATGAACTTGTACTTGAATCTAATCTATCAACAGATTTCATTGGTGTTCTCTTATCTCTCGTTTTAATCACGGGCGTTCACGTCGAAGATAAGCTTTTCACTGTTGTTGTTTTGGCTCCCGCTTATGAATGCGTTTTGAAATAAATTGAGGAATGTCACGCAGCAATAGTCGTCTTATCTATAGTTACCAGTTCACCGCTTTAAATTTGAACGATGATAACTTTTCGCAGTAGATCTTGAGGCTTCGTATTTGGTATAATGCTTGGTGTCTTGTATTGACATATGTACAATGAAATGCACTAGTCTAAATAGCCATATAGTCGTCTCTGTGCCATGCTCCCAACGTATAAAAACTATTTTATGGCTGATACTAGCCTTAACATCGTTTTCATCGAGTCAACAAACATGAGGATTGAGGACCAATATTGACTGGTTTTTTGTTTATCTCATATTTTTTACGATTAACCGTTATATATGACACGATTAAGTTTGCATAGCATAAACTTTTTGGTGTGGGTCGACCTGAAATAAGGCTTCAGGTACGGAACAGTTATAGTTGGTGTGACGTATGTATATGGTCAATTTTGTTATGGTAAATGATATTTATATATATTTTTAGGCACAGAATTTATCACACAAGAGGCATTATATACTAGGCTTAGCATAAAAGATGTTATAAATATGACTAAACTACTAATATAGATCGTCGCAAGGTCACACATTCGCCAATATTCCATCAGCAGCCTATGCTATGATGTGATGTGTTACGACTTCCATTGGATTTATCCTGCAATTAGTGCCATCAGTATCATCATTAGCAGCCATCAACACTCGGTCACTGGCCTCCTTGCGAACCAACCATTAATGTTCCTTGCATTTTGCTGCACTCAGCGTCAATGCAAGGCGCCGATAGAGTTATGACAGTCTTGGCTGCACTGCTGCATACGATTTATGCTACACGAATACAGCATCGCTCTATGTTGATAGGATTAGTTCGTGCAGAAAATCTCTGGTGTTTTCTCATTCTACACCTGCTTGTAGTCGATCTTTAGGCGGGATGCTTATTTTATTATTTTGTAATCGACAATGTCTCACTGATTAAAATCGTTGGCCCGTATTTCACGATAATGTCATTAAATCTATTGTGTATATGTCCGTATCTTTGTGGCCAGGTGCAATTTTTGTTGCCACTTGATTGAAAAATGTTTGTTTAAAAATGTATGTTTTGATATTATTAAGAAAAATCATTATATAAAGTTCCCATACCATGAACTTCCTGTGAAAATTTTGTCTTGCAGCGTAAAGTGGGAAAATCTCGTGCGTCATCATATGTTTTACCAATACAGAGAACTGGAAAGCAAAGAAAACGCCACGCAAATTATCGGTATTTTCATTGAAAATGAGCTGCATCAGCAGTTGTAAGCTCAAAGAAAACAATTGTAAATAATCACATGAGCGACCAGTCTTACCCGGAAGATATTAAAACCTAAATGCCAAATAAACCAGTGAAGGCGTGTAAAAACCCATCTCCTGAAAATTTTAATGCGGATAAGAAAGAAACAAATATATCTTATTCTTTTTGTGTAAATGAGGCGTTTTTGAACTGATGAGAAGCTGGTCTCCGCGACGTTTTAATAGAAGATGTGGTGAATTTGCATGGCCTTTCTTTTTAGTTAATAAATTTTTGGTTAATTTGAGAGTTGAGCAAACTAATATGAAAAGTCTTCACACGATATGTGTACTCATGTTGCTGTGAACGATTAATATGCAACTTGTGTGTATTCCCAGTAAGCTACCTGTCGAATTGATTTAAAACTTCTGTGTTTTTTTGATTGAAATTCATAAAAAGAGAAGTTGAATATTTCTCGTAAATAGATGAGCCGACGCCGTATGTTACGTATTAACAAATTTGTATTGGGAAATGTCAATTGATGCCCTTAAAATTTCGTAAAGCTTATTCTTTTAATTATAGATTTCCAGACTTGTCTTATCTGAATACCCATTTTTGTTTATGCTAACGAATTGATATTGGATTACATATATCATTGCCATGAACCAGGATATAGTGATATTTCTCCGTAATGTGTTTTTGTTCCTGAACTCAGCACTTCACAATAGATGATCAACCTTGATTTGATGCTCCCGGAGGTAGTCATTGTGATGTTGTAGTTACGACAGAACAATGCGTTCCGCAACATGTATATGCAGTCAACATGTATATGCAGTCAACTCCGGTGCTTGCATTCACGGGAGTTCTTCTTATCCTTAAACTATGTTGTACTTGCGCTAAATTGTTCCAAACATTCTAGTTTGGATAGAAAGTGTCTCTAGCTTGAATTAATTTTACATTAAACACATCAATTATTGTCCAAGATCGTAGGCTGTCTGGGATGACCAATATCCTCGCGTCGAGTTGCAAACTTTATATCGAACTCGTAAGACAGCGACGTTACTACGTCATGATGTCTGGTCGTATCGCAGGTTCATATTGCCCATTTGCCATCTGAAACTGGAACACTACTCGCCTCCGTTGAAAACCTTTCGATGTGTGAGAAATCAGTTTCAATTTATGGATTTAGATTTCTCAGTAAGTATTTTTTAACAAATAAACTCGTGTATTCCTGGGGATCCTTGCGTAGAGTTTTTAAATTTTGTCAGGTTTGTTTGAATGATATCTTGAGTTTTCTTCTCCATAACAGTCGGCGTTTGAGGTGATCGCTTAACCTTCTCAGCAGATGACCATTGCAATGGAGGCACGAGTGAGGCATGAGTCAGTGACCATACACGGAGGAACTACCCTGTAGTATACACGCAGCTCTTTGTACCTCCGATCGCATGTGAGGCTCGACGCCGGGCACGATGAGAGCGGTCTTCCTTTTGAGACGGTCTGGGCGCCAGCGGTCCTGCGCGCGTTGTCTGTACGCATCTCTTGCTCGCCTTGTGCGGTCATGCACTTACGACCTGCTCTTACAACCTGTTTACTTAACATCCTTTGACTTGACCTGTGAGGCGTGTTCTCTCGTCGTTGGGTTTGTTTGCCGTTTTAACGCTGCTAGACTCGCTCTGTCTTGCTAAAGTTTGTCGTTTCTGATCATGATGCCCATGACCAGCAACGACAAAGAGAAACAAATTTGTTTCTTCTAGCGGAGAAACAAAATTTTCGACTCACCCATTTTTCACACGGATAAGTTTGCATCAAGTAGCATTCTTGATTTTGACTATTAACCACCAGTCGTACATTGCATGTATAAGGTCCTCGTACAAGGGTCTAGTAGAGACGGCCATACTATTTGGCCAGCCCTAAATAGTGGCTGAGTGGAGAATTTTGGCAGTGAATCATGACATTTTTGTGGCTCAATCTTAAGATAGTAAAGTTAAGATAGTAAAGTTTCAATACTGAAAGTTGCCTTTTCGGATTTTTATCTAAGGCCTTCAACGACGCACTGGTGATCTTGTCCTGTCACGTGAGAAATTTCGAAAAATGCATCTTGCGTTACTATCTTCCATGCGCATTTCCATGAATTGGAAAACTACATTACTACACACGCGCACATAACAGATTTTGTTTCAGGCAATGCCAAATTATTCAGATAATATAATGTAATGTACTATAATATTCATAATAATTCCCAATGTACACTTTCCCTCTTAGTCAACGTGGGTGATGCATGAGTGCCCATTAATTTATTTTACAGATTTGGCTGTTGATTCAAGGAGCTCTAACTAATCCTTACTATTGCAAGCGGCCTTACTTCATTCTGTATGACATTAATTCATTCAAGACGGTTTAGATGTACAAAAAAATTATATAAACAATATAAACACGGATAGTTAATGATCAGAGAAATCATTGATTCAAATTTTCAGGATCGAACAATATTCTTTAGATGACGCTGGTTGATCAAAATTGAGGTTCAAGGAAGTAATCTAATTTATTAACGACGTTTCGAATGTGATAACATTCATTTTGAAGTTACAGGAAACATCGAATGATGAAATTTTGGCGGAAATAAGTACACTTGATACACGTAAATATGATACAACACGAAAATTTTGAACCTTGAAAATAATTCCGAAA